TGAGAACGGTATCTTAAGTATGGTCTAAGGTGAAGTGGAAGATCTCAAAGACGTTGTAGGGGACGGGATCCACTAGTGGAAGAATGCAGGTCCCTTCTCATTCATAACTAATGGATCCACTAGCGGATTCCGTCCCTTACAATGTCTTCGAGATCTTCGACAGTATTTAAGACTCCGTTCTCATGCTTCAGCTTCATATCGTTCCAGACGATGGAGCTGAACTCTTCTCCAGAATAAGGTACTGACCACCTTAAATACTTTTTCTCCAAGGTTGATAAAAAAATGGTTATAACTATGACCATAATTTTTAAAGGGGTGGACCGGTAAGCCAGCGGAAGGCCACGGTCAGATGGCCAAAAACTCCAACGGCGGGTTATCTGACTAAGACCAGCGTCAGAAAACACTTGTCTTGTTTCCTGACAAACCTTACCTAATCGCCAAGTTGGAAGGACTGATTACAGCATTATTTCATTTCTGCAAAATGATGCTTGTTATTTCCCTGCTGAGACAATTCAAATTTTATGCTTACTGAAAACGTTCTCGAGCTTCTAGTTTCAAAATTCTAAATCTGATGCACAAATATCCCGCACAAAGGAGACTGAAGCTTATGACGACCTTCCAGCCCTACTTGTGCCATTTTTTTAAATCTGATATTAATTGAAAAAAAAATTATTTAATAGGAAAGTAGGTTCATGACTGCTAAATGTATTTAAACACCCTAAAGACTTCACCTTCGACAGGCAATTCTTTGTCGCAGAAAATATACTCAGAGTTGTATATCTCTCAGTGTATATATGCTAAGGGTTAACTTTAATCCCTACTTTAGGGAGTAAAGTAGTTTAGGGAGTAAAGTATTCTTGCGTGATGATGACAAGGTTACGTGCAGTCTTAATGACCCTAGTATAGTCAGTAGTCTTTAAACTCCATTAATCAACCACACAACCAGTTCCATACAACACCATTGGACACTATATTTCCTCTACATTATTCGCCTTATTAGGATTTAAATTTGCAAATAATCTAAAATGCTCATAAAATAAAGATTGTGTATTAGATGATGATAATGATTATATATTTGTTCATGATAATGATCATTACACATTAATTCATGATAATGATTTATATAATAGTTCACGATAAGGATTATTATTTATATTCATGATTATATAACATTATAATTTTAAGTACAGTGTACACAATTTTTTAAGCTGTGGTAATTAAGGAAACATTAGATGATAATTAAGAAATATTTAGTTGATATAGGTTCGTTTACCTGCAATTAACCCACATAAACATTTATTCCTTTTGTGCCTAGAACAGAACAAACTATATAAATCCTCGAGAATGCACAAAATTTTCAACTTTTCTTTCTCATTCTACAGATAATAGGTTGATATTTCACACATACACATACACATACACGTGAACATGTATGTGTGTATGTGTGTGTGTGTGTGTGTGTGTGTGTGTGTGTGTGTGTGTGTGTGTGTGTATGTGTGTATGTGTGTGTGTGTGTTTGTGTGTGTGTATGTACTCACCTAGTTGTACTCACCTAGTTGAGGTTGCGGGGGTCGAGTCCGAGCTCCTGGCCCCGCCTCTTCACTGATCGCTACTAGGTCACTCTCCCTGAGCCGTGAGCTTTATCATACCTCTGATTAAAGGCTATGATATGGATACCTGCATCACTACATGCTTCCCAAACCTATTCAACTTCTGATTTACTCTTGGCTGAAGAAATACTTCGTACTCGTGATTCATCTGTGTCTTCAGCTTCCATACTGTGTCCCTTGTTACTTGGTCATTCTGGAACAAGCTGTCTTTGTACCTTGTCAATTCCTCTCAGTAGTTTAGTTGTCGTTATTCGTCCCCCCATGTCTCTCTTGTCCTCCAGTGTACTCAGGTTGATTCCTTAACCTCTTCCTCGTAGGACATACTCTTAGCTCTATTAGTCTTGTTGCAAAACATTTGCACTTTCTTAGTTTCTTTTACGGCTTGGTTTATGATGTGGGTTCCAATAACTGGTTTGCATACTCCAATATTATCTAACTTTACCGGTTACAGGTCTAACGATTCACTTATTAAGAGTGGAATCTGTTCTGAGTTGCTAGGCAGACCATATGCTGCACCATTTTATTTGTGTGATGTGCGCGTTCAGGAGATGTGCCTGGTAGTTTTACTCACCCAAGAATTTTTTCCTTGAGTGATGCTTTGAGTGTCTTGACATACCTGACTTTTACTTCCGTCGCGAGCCTTCTTTGCTCCCCTTTCATGACTTTGAATTGGTGGGATTGAACTCCAGGAGCCAATTGCTGAGACCAGGTCTGCATACCTGTCCAGATCCATTTGAGTTCTGCCTGGTCCTGTCGATTTCAGTGTTTTTCTCATCAACTTCAAAGTCATCTGCAAAAACCAGGAGACACTTTTTCAGAGTCTTTCCTTCCTTCATGTCGTTCACAAATACCAGAAACGCAGGTCCTAGACTGACCGCTGCGGGACCAGCTGTGTCACGTCCCATCTGACCTCGTCACGTACCATGAACTCGCTGCTGTCTTCTGACAAGTATTCCCTGATCCATTGTAGTGCCATTCCTGTTTGTTCCCTGCTTGGTCCTCCAGTTTTTTTGCACAATCTCTTTGTGGAACTGTGTCAAACGCCATTCTTGCAGTCCAAGTAGAAAATGACCAATTCCACCCACCCCTTCTCTCTCTTGTCTTAACTGGGTCACCATGTCATAGAACTCAGTAGGTTTTGTTGACACAGAAATTTCCCGTTCTCTGAAACCATGCTGGTGCTAGTTGATGATAGATATCATTCCTTTCTAGGTGTTCACACTCTTATCTGATAAATCTTCTCCATGATTTTGCTCTATACATGTCAGTGACACTGGTCTTAGTTTAATGCTTCATGTCTGTCTTCTTTTTTAAAGACTGGGATACTTTTTGCTGTCTTCCATCCCTCAGGCAATCTCCTGTTTCGATATAGATGTATTGAATATTGTGTTAGGGTACAATAGCCTCTGATCCCTTCTCAATACCCATGGAGAGGATGTTATCTGGCCATTGCTTTGGGTCAGCTCACAGAAGCTTTCGCTTCTCCTCGGTTGTCGTCACTGTGCCACACGTTGGTGGTAGTGCCCACCTCTACGTCTTTCTGGATTTGCCTTCATGATGTGTGTTGTGTGCTGTGGATTGTGTGTGTGTTGTGTGTGTGTGTGTCGTGTGTGTGTTTTATGTGGTGTGGTGTGTATGGTGTATGTGTGTGTGTGTGTAATTGTGTGTGTGATGGTGTGTGTGTGTGTGCTGGTGTATTGTGTGTGTGTTAGTGTGTGCTTTGTATAATGTTAGTATGTGTGGTTGTTAGTTTGTCGTGTGTGTGTGGTGTGTCGTGTGAAAAAAATGAAAATGTGAGTGTGTTGTGTGATGTTGTGATTGTGAGTTTTGTCTAGTGTTGTCAGTGTGTGTAGTTTTGTGTGCCTGATGTGTGTGTAATTCTGATCAAATAAGTTTATGTGTGTGTGTGTGTGTCGTGGGTTTGTTGATGTGATGTAATGTGTGTGTATCGTGTGTATGAGTGTTTAGAATGTGTTGTGTTTTGTGATGTGTGAGTGTAAGAGTGTGTGTGTTTAGTGTGATATGTGCGATGTGTGTGTGTGGATTTGTGGTAAGTTGTGTGTATGGTGGTGTGTGTGTAGTGTGTATGTGTGTGTGTGTGTGTGTGTGTGGTGTGTGTGTGTGTGGTGTGTGTGTGTGTGTGTGGTGTGTGTGTGTGGTGTGTATGTGTGTTTGTGTTGTGTGTGTGTGTGTGTTTTGTGTGTGTGTTTGTGTGTGTGTGTGTGTGTGTGTGGTGGTGTGGGGTGTGTGTGTGTGTGTTTTGTGTGTGTGTGGGGTGGGGTGCATGAGTATGTGAGCCCACGCGTGTATGCAAATATGTATGCAGGCACTTTCACATGCAAGCATTGCATCTGAATGAGAGTAGAAAGAAGAGTTTTATATGGTTTACCTGGCATCACACTTGTTCATCAGACAGAAGGAAGACCGATAATCTGTTTTTATATTATCTTTGGCGGAGGTTATGTTAGGTTAGGCAAGGTTAGGTTAGGTTAGGTTAGGTAAGGTTAGGTTAGGTTCGTCAGGAAACAGGACAAGTGTTTCCTGAGGCGGGTCTTAGTGGCGCAGTAAACCTTTCTTTGATTCCATGTGTGATTTATTTTCATTACCAAAAGTTGAAAATTATGGTCAAAATAATAATTAGAGAACATTACTATTATTTTTGCACATAAATGTCAATGATCTAAGTATATCTTAACGTCTTTAATTTTTTTCCTTCATGGTTATTAACTTGTGTTTATAAATATGCGAGTTCAAATTTGAAGTCTAGTTTTATTATGATACTTTTATATTTATTTTAAAACCAACTTTAACCGGAACTTTTGATGCAAAAGAATTCTAAACAAATGAATTGCAACTTAATTTTATGAAATTAGGTGACCTCATGTGTAGCTAATGCTATTTAGTCAAGATCCATATAAAGTTGAACTCAAAGTTCGTAAAAATGTCTGTGTGCAGTGTGTGCAGTCAGACAGTTACGGGTAACTTTGTAGAATAAAGAATATTTATCGTTAAACTGAGAAAGAGCTTGAAATGCTTATCCGAGAAGAATGAAATCTTTCAGAAAACAGATATCCGCTATGTTAGTTAGTGGATATAAAGCCTATCGATTGTTTTAAAGCTGCACGTAACCTTTTCACTAGTAAAATTATTTAATTCCTAAATAGGGATTAAAACAAACTCTCAGTATACAAAACGTTGGGAGAAATAAGGATCTTTGTGAATATATCCTGTGATCGGACTTGGTATATCTGGCGGAGCTGAAAGTAAAACAGCATAGAATCGATTTTAACAGCGTTGTTCTATACAGACTTTCTGAAATGTTGCATACTTGTTCTAGTTCAGTAAAATTACCATGGAGGATTTTTTTTCAAAATATTATCTTTCTTGCAGTGACGACTCGAAAATCTGCCATTAACCAGGCAGACTACGCCCTGCTGAGAGGTCCTAAAATTCTTTCTCACTTCGAGGATTACTTCAACGTCTTGTTCCCTCTTCCTAAGCTGGATATGATGGCAGTTCCTGACTTCTCGTCTAGTGCCATGGAAAACTGGGGACTCATTACCTACAAGTCAGTTAGAATTTAAACTATTTCTTTTATACTTTTACTAATTCTACCCTGTGATTTTTTCTTCATATATATATATATATATATATATATATATATATATATATATATATATATATATATATATAATATATATATATATATATATATATATATATATATATATATAATATATTTATTTCTTGGAAAATTTTTATGTTTCTTTCCTATACAAAACATTAAATATAAGTAACATGTATTCCACATCCAAAAATAATTCTGTTTTTTAGTCAATTAAATCTCTATGTGCCAGACGTAATCTGAGTGTAATTTAGTGCCTTAGTACTAGTATTATTATTATTATGATCATCATAATATGTACACAAAAAGTTTATCATTAATGAGTCTAGTCCTATGCAGGGAGACAGGAATGTTGTATGATCCAGAGGTGTCGTCAGCGATGCACAAGCAGTGGGTAGCTGGGGTGGTGTCCCACGAGCTGGCTCACCAGTGGTTTGGTAATCTCGTTACTCTAGACTGGTGGACAGACCTTTGGCTCAATGAAGGTTTTGCTTCCTTCGTGGAATTCATCGGTGTGGACCATGTGAGTTGCCTCCAGGGTTAGCTTTTAACATTGGATGATGATAGGCAGGATCCTTTCGGTAAATTTGTGGTTGAGAGTCAGAGGAAGAGTGCAAGACTATTTAAATATACTTCTACTTTATCCTTTTAAACTAAAATGTAAATAAAGCTTCGGTTACATTAATTGAACCACAGATTGGTTGTTATCCAGATGCAAAAAAAAAAAAAAAAAAAAAAAATTACGAACGAGAGGGGAATTCTTGATGGAAAGTTTGACCTCACATGAGTCTCAGTTATGTAACTTTTGTTGCACCAGAAGGAAACTTACCTGAACCAAAATAAATTTCATTAATGTTATGCGATACCGACAAGTTCTTGAATAAGACACATATAAAACATATAGATATCCTAATTGTAGAAACGTTTCAACAGCAAGGCAGGCTTCTTCAGCCGAATGCAGACGAATATAACAGAAGTAGTAGTTTTAACGTGAAAAGTCCGACACCCTTGGGAGGAGGTGGTCAATCTTCAGGGCTAAGGCACAGGCATACCTGAGAAGTTGGCTACGCTGTTTCACTTCGCTTATGGACTGAAGAAGCCTGTTGTACAAGCGAAAAGTTCCGATAGTAATGATAATTGAATGTTACACATGTATTTTATTCATATATATAAATTTATATATTGAATATACACTTAAAATAACACAGAACTTGAAATTTATACAATACGTTATGCTTCCAGTACACAATACATCAATATAACACGCAAATAAGGACAAGAACTTTAACGCACTGGTTTATATACATAGAACGATATGTATCTCATAAGTGAGTTTACGCTAGGAGTGTACTTTAATTCTTCATTTTGGTCATTAAGCATCCCTGACGTGATGTACATAAGACTTTCAGCTTTAATGACTCGCGTTCTCGAAAGACTATGAACCTAGTATAAATTCCAACCAACTCAGCATTTTAACATCAGATTGTAACATCACGCTTTTTGAAGCATGTAAGATAAAACTTCTCTGAGGTGTGAACAAAATGAAGAGGGGCTGGTTTCAAGCCCCAGTTACGTAAATTTCATGATTTTTATACACCCTGGATCAAACATTTCTCTACGAATTTTTAAACTGAATGACCATGACTACTTTTAATACAGGTTGAACCCACCTGGAAAATTATGGATCAGTTCATTACTGAAGACCTCCAGAATGTGTTCTCTTTAGACTGTCTGGAGTCCTCACACCCCATCAGCATCCCAGTGGGACATCCGGATGAGATCAATGAGATGTTTGATCTTATTTCCTACCAAAAAGGTAAGTATATTTCTGTACCTATTGAAATTTGCTGGTTGGTTAAAGGGATTTAATGACTAACGTCTACATAAGGGTCATTAAGACTGTTTATAACTTATTAAGCATCAGTCAAGACTACACTAATCTCTTAGATATGAATTAAAATAAATTTTCAGTGCATATACACCGAGATACACACCTTTCGGTGTGCGTATATGTCATGCGTACCAATGGATTCAGCGATTATGTAATTTGTATTCAGCAATGTATTCACTTTTAGTATTTACATTAATAGTAACAATTTTCATTCGCCAATATATATATATATATATATATATATATATATATATATATATATATTATATATATATATATATATATATATATATATATATATATATATATATATATATTATTTATATATTGGCGAATGAAATATATTATTGTGACCACGAACGAGTGGCATTGATCAATAGCAACATTGCACTAGCCAATGACTCGAACCCATGCTGCTTTCCCCTGCCTCATGGTGGGCGAAAACGCATGACGCCCTAATCCACTGCCAACTATTGGAAGATAGATAGGCTTGTGAGAGTATAGGCAATGGGGTCGAAGATGTATGGGGTAGGTTTAAGAATGTAGTTTTAGTGTTCAGCAGAAGTTTGTGGTTACAGGAAAGTGGGTGCGGGAGGGAAGAAGAGCGACTGGTGGAATGATGACGTAAAGAGAGTAGTAAGGGAGAACAAGTTTGCATATGAGAGGCTTTTACAAAAAATAGGTAACGACAGTTTGGATATCTGATTGGAGGGAGAGAGTATGAAGGAGGTGAATGGCTTCAGATATTTAGGAGTGGACGTGTCAGCAAATAAGTCTATGAAAGATGAGGTGAATCATAGAATTGATGAGGGGAAAAAAGCGATTGGTGCACTGAGGAGTCTGTGGAGACAAAGAACCTTGTCCATGGAAGCAAAGAGGGAAAGTATGAGAGTATAGTTATACCAATGCTCTTATATGGGTGTGATACATAGGTGGTGAATGTTGCAGCGAGAAGAAGGCTGGAGGCAGTGGAGATATCATGTCTCAGAGCAATGTGCCGTGTGAATATAATGCAGAAAATTCGTAGTTCGGAAATTAGGAGGAGGTGCGGGATTACCAAAACTATTATCCAGAGGGCTGAGGAGGTGTTGTTGAGATGGTTCAGATATATAGAGAGGAAGAAACAAAGTAGAATGACTTTGAGAGCATATAAATCTGTAGCAGGGGTCAGCCTAGTAAAGGTTGGAGGGAGGGATTAAATGAGATTTTGTGTGTGAGGGGCTTGGACTTCCAGCAAGCATGTGTGAGCGTGTTAGATAGGAGCGAATGGAGGCAAATGGTTTTTTGGACTTAACATTCAGTTGGAGTATGATCAAAGTAACATCTATGAAGGGATTCAGGGAAACCGGAAGGCCGGACTTGAGTCCTGAAGATGGGAAGTACAGTGTCTACACTCTGAAGGAGGGGTGTTAATGTTGCAGTTTTATAAACTGTAGAGTAAAGCACCCCTCTGGCAAGACAGTGATGGAGTGAATGATGAAAGTTTTTCTTTTTCGGGCCACCCTGCCTTGGTGGGAATCGGCCGATGTGTTAATAAATAAATAAATAAATAAATAAATAAATAATATATATATATATATATAATATATATATATATATATATATATATATATATATATATTATATATATATATATATATATATATATATATATATATATATGTCGTGCCGAATATGTAAAACTGGTCAATTAGCAAGACCTCATTTAAAATTAAGTCCTTTCTAAAATTTTCTCTTATACGTTTAAAGATATATTTTTTTCATTAATGTTAATGCAAAAATTTTTAATTTTGCACCAAAAGAATCTTAGAAAACTTACCTAACCTTATTATAACAAGAACAATTTATTTTAGCCTAACCCAACTATGTATATTTTAGATTTGTTTACAGTAATTTAATACTAAACAAACACAATGGAATATATTTTTTTCGTTAGGTTCAGAAGGATTTTGGCGAAATTATTGCATACACAAATTTTCGCTTGTCCTATATGGCAAGATGAGCGTTGCTATTTAAGCCAAGATCGCAAGTTCTGCCTATTTGGCACGACATATATATATATATATATATATATATATATATATATATATATATATATATATATATATATATATATATATATATATATTATATATATATATATATTATGTCGTGCCGAATATGTAAAACTGGTCAATTAGCAAGAACTCATTTAAAATTGAGCCCTTTTTGAAATTTTCTCTTATACGTTTAAAGATATATTTTTTTCATTAATGTTAATGTAAAAAATTTTAATTTTGCACCAAAAGAATCTTAGAAAACTTACCTAACCTTATTATAACAAGAGCAATTTATTTTAGCCTAACCCAACTAAATATATTTTAAATACGTTTACAATAAATTAATACTAAACAAACACAATCAAATATATTTTTTCCCCTAGGTTCAGAATGATTTTGGCGAAATTATTGCATACACAAATTTTCGCTTGTTTTACATGGCAAGATGAGCGTTGCTATTTAACCAAGATCGCAAGTTCTGCCTATTCGGCACGACATATATATATATATATATATATATATATATATATATATATATATATATATATATATATATATATATATATATATATATATATATATATATAGAGAGAGAGAGAGAGAGAGAGAGAGAGAGAGAGTATTGTAATCATTAATGAGTGGTAATCAATCACTAACAACGCTGCGACTAGCCGGGGGATTTAACCCGTGTTGTTTTAGCCTGCCTCATGGTGAGGGAAAATTCACAATGCTCTAACCCACTAGATCATCCAATTATACTAAGATCATGCATCCAGAAGAGCTAGGTGTTGCACCGGGATCCGAGGACATACGATGGTGTGAGTGACCCAGAGCTAATTTCATCCTACTCCCCGTTTGGTGTACTAGCCTCCACAAGCAGTATATATAGTACTGTAATTACCAACGAGTGGTATTTAATCAATAACAACACTGCGACTTGCTGGGGGATAGAACCTGTGTTGTTATAGCCCGCTCTAACCCACTGGACCATCCAATCCTACAAAGATCATGCACCCAGAAGAGCTAGGTGTTGCACCGTGATCCAAGGACATACGACTTGAATTTTCGCTCATCATAAGGCGGGCTAAAACAACACAGGTTCAATATCCCAGCTAGTTGCAGTGTTGTTATTAATTATATATATATATATATATATATATATATATATATATATATATATATATATATATAATATATATATATATATATATATATATATATATATATATATATTATATTTATTATTATTATTATTATTATTATTATTATTATTATTATTATTATTATTATTGCATAATATGGTACAACAGATTTAAGAGGTACATTGTTGATATAAAGATGGCATATACAGTACATGAGGTGTGGGAGATACATGTCTAGTACATATTGTTAAGTGTTTGTCACTGATTATAATGCGAAAATCTCAACCAGCTCCTCAGAGCAGGGGCTCATGCCCAAAATACTGCAGGCATTACCCTTCTGAACATCAGCGCTGAGTCGCTGGAACAGAACTAGCTGCCCTTGGATTCCTAGTTACCCTGATGAGTCTTTTGCCTAGCTCCATAATTAACTTAGACCCACTCTTTCCACATCAGCCAAGGGTCCCCGAGCCCATGAGAACAAACATATAATGATGGGCAAGGTCTCCATATTTTATAAACTTTTGGGACTCCCTGAAGCTGGTGGCTGCCCCTCCTTTCTCCCTGGTGTATTGGAGATTGGTATCAGTCAAGGTAGATGCACATGTGTAGTCCCACACCACCTGCTTGCCGTCTGTCCAGGCTTGAAGGGTGATACCATCTTGACCCTTCTGGCTGCCATCAGATCTGCATAGTTGGGGTGGTTCCCTTACTGCTGGGCATCCGGCTGTTATGAGGCTCCTCTTGATAATGGTATTAACCTACTCATGTCTTGAAATCTTTCCCTGGGATTTATGGCACACAAGACCATGGTACCCAAATCGGTCTACTGCTTCACTGCCACAAATACACCTGTATTCGGCGAGAATAGGGGCGGCAAGTCGAAGGGCAACATCAATGTGGATGGTCTGTGGGTCGAGGCATGTGCCAAGGCTAGAGTTGGAAACAGCCAACAGAAAGTCCCCTGCATGAGGAGCTCTCACTGCCAGGAGGCAAGCTCTATCCTTCCCTGACACACACTGAAGCATTGTTGAGGCTATATTCTCCACTACTGGGCCATCCCAGTGCGACTGTTTGCAGTTGATGGGGGAAGCAGGTCTAGTTTCAGAGCCCATTAGATTATCCCATATCATGGCTCCGTCAATGAACTTTTGGTCCTGGACTCCAATCTTGTCCCTAAGATGATCAAGGAGAATTACGGCTACAAGCCCTCTAGATGCAACGCATGAGGACAGAAAAGCAGGTAGTGCAATCTATGATTACTTGCGGACACCAATGCCTCCTAGTCTGAATGGAAGTGTAGCTTGGTTCCACTGCCGGTCTTCTAGGGTTATCATATGAAGGCGCACATCCTAGGAAATATGTGAACCAGGGCGGACTCAAGCACTTTGCGACAAGGTACATGGCATCGTGGGTGTCAAGATTGCCTATTCATTGTTCCATTCTCCTCATCTCTTCCAGTTTCTTCCTGAGAATTGTGTCAATGGCATCACTTCCCAGAGGTGCTCCAAGCAAGACCCTATTTGTCGGGGCAATGACTGATGATCCTGGTAGTTTTGAACTCACTGCATCTATCACTTGTTGACTGACTGAGATGGTTTCAAATTTGGATGGATTCAAGATGAGACCCATTTCCTGTCCCCATGTCATCACCTGTGTAAGATCTCTAGAAGGTACTCCTTTGTACCTGCTAGTGTGCCATCATCCAGGAACCAGATGTTTAGCTTACTGGTCAGTCTGTGATTTC